TAAGAATCTAAGAATCTAAGAATCTAAGAATCTAAGAATCTAAGACTCTAAGAATCTAAGAATCTAAGAATCTAAGAATCTAAGAATCTAAGAATCTAAGAATCTAAGAATCTAAGAATCTAAGAATCTAAGAATCTAAGAATCTAAGAATCTAAGAATCTAAGAATCTAAGAATCTAAGAATCTAAGAATCTAAGAATCTAAGAATCTAAGAATCTAAGAATCTAAGAATCTAAGAATCTAAGAATCTAAGAATCTAAGAATCTAAGAATCTAAGAATCTAAGAATCTAAGAATCTAAGAATCTAAGAATCTAAGAATCTAAGAATCTAAGAATCTAAGAATCTAAGAATCTAGAAATCTCGAAATCTCGAAATCCAATGATCCAAGCATCCCAGAATCCAAAAATCCCAAAATACCAACACTCACAATGCCAATTGTTGCTGCTGACCGATGAATCCGCTGTGGGCGTGAGCGTGCTGTTGCCACTGCTGAATCTGCTGAAGTTTCTCAATCTGATGTATGGGCACCATGTCCACCATATGGTACACTGGAACCCCCATGGTCATCGTATGTCCTATTAATGCCTGTTGCAGGTGTTGAATATGGTGCATTTGTTGCACTTGAAGATGTTGGTGGTGTTGTTGGGTCATGAGAGCTTGTTGGATTTGGTGGCGAAGTGGGATGAGGCTGGAAATACTAATTTTATGGCTCGAGGAGGTAAAAAGTCTGAAAATTAAAAAAATCCAGAGTCCAGAAACCATAACCCAAAAATATTAAAATCCAAAAACCTATTAACCTCAAAGTCAGAATCCAAGATTCCAAGAATCCAAGAATCCAAGAATCCAAGAATCCAAGAATCCAAGAATCCAAGAATCCAAGAATCCAAGAATCCAAGAATCCAAGAATCCAAGAATCCAAGAATCCAAGAATCCAAGAATCCAAGAATCCAAGAATCCAAGAATCCAAGAATCCAAGAATCCAAGATTCCAGATTCCAGGAAGCTAGAACTCCAGGATCCTAGAATCCAAGAATCCAAGAATCCAAGATTCCAGATTCCAGGAAGCTAGAAATCCAGGATCCTAGAATCCAAGAATCCAAGAATCCAAGATTCCAGATTCCAGGAAGCTAGAAATCCAGGATCCTAGAAATCTGCAAATTTAGAATTCTACAGATCAGTGAATCTGTGGAATCCTAGAAATTAAAAAAATTCCAGCAAAAAAACTCACTATCCATCAGCGGACGCTGGAAGTGAGGCGATCAGCTGGACAAGACGAATTCGGACACGATCCAAGACTTGGTCGGTGTTGGTTAATGGCATCTGTAAATATAAATAATTGAGGTTTAAGAGACGTCTTCAGAAAAAAAGTGTAACTACAGTACTCTAAAACACCAAAAACAGACTAAAATACTGTGCTTGCTCAATGAGAATCCCACCCAAACTCTCAACTTTGAGCTCAATTATCTCATTTCCTGTGAAAGATATCAAAAAACGGTCAACTGACAAAATGAGTATCATGATACCATCAATATTTTATCAATCGGCAGATTTCTGATATCTTTTACAGTAGCTGTTATAATTGAGCTCAAAGAGCACTCATTGAAGCAAAAAAAGTATATGAAGCAAAAGAAGACTTTTAAAGAAAAGGAAACAATTACGACAAAACGATAAAATCGATTTTTGGCAGATTATCGCAGTTTGAATAGATCAAAATTTAAAAATAAAACTTGGATTCTGTGGGAAAATTTTTTTTGGGTAGATCAAACTTAAGAAGTTAAAACGAAAATCAGATTTTTCATTGAGTGGGATATGTAGATTTTGGGAAAACTGAAAATTTTGGGTGTAATGTTTGAAAACTTTTAAAAAATTAAGAAATGTTTATACTTAAAAGTAAAAAAAAAACAACAACAAAGTAAAGAGGTAAAAAACGAAAATGTGAAAACTTAAAATGCACAAAAATATAACATCGTCTATAGTAGTGGTCAATAAAATACACAAGGAAAAAATTTTTCAGTTTATTTTCAGCTATTTTTACTATTTTCAAGAGGTTGGAGCTCGGATGTCAAGGTTCTGATCACTTTGAAAAATTTTAAAAGGGTGTGAAACAGAACTAGATTGAAAATTTCGCACATACCGAATTTCTGGAAAATTCGGCCCTCTCCGTGAAGAACGGTCCCATCTTCGGACCACCGGTTCCAAGAATTTCGAAAACGGTCCCAACGTACTGAAAGCGGTCCCAAATTTCCAAGAACGGTCCCAACGGTACGACAACGGTCCCAACCAGGCTGACTCGAAAAATTGAGAAAAATATTTCAGCTACAAAATTGAGAATTTTGGTGATAATTGAAAATGTCAGCGCTTTTTTCTATGAGAATTTTCACTCGAAAAATAACACAAATTTTGAAATTTCGGTTGCCTAACAAACATGGCACCAAAATGCGTTCGTTTAAAATGATATTGACTTTATCTCAACTTTAAAAAATGAATTGAGATTTTCGAAAAAAGAAATGGGTAAAATCGAATATCCGATTTTCTGAAAAAGAGGTTTCAAGCAAGCCTGGTCTTAGGACCGTTATCGTACTGTTGGGACCGTTGTCGAAGTTCGTTGGGACCGGCGATCCAATGATTGGACCAGCGGTCCTGCGTTGGGACCGCTCTTCCCGGAAAGAGCCGAAAATTCCTAGTTTTTCAGCTATTTGTCAATTTCTGAAAGACACCCTTTTTGACCTGTTCATTACTGAAAACCTAGAAAAACAGATGTCTGGCAATGCGCTGAAAAATTAGGAACTTTCAAAAAATTCTGTGGATGCAAATTTTTCAATCTAGGTCCGTTTCATACCCTCCAAAATTTTCAAAATGATTGGAAACTTAAAAATCGAGCTTCAGACTCCTGAAAATGATCAAAATGGCTGAAAATCAACTATTGACCGGTACTGTATATCTCGATCTAGCATTGTCGTTCAGGCAACAACGTCTTCTTCGATTTCTCGTATCGCTTTTCTTGTTCTTCCGATGTCATCTAAATGATGTAAAACATGATTGTCCTCATATCTTTGAAAAAAAACCCTCACCGTTATTTTTCTTGAACTCTTTGAGGAGTTTTCGAATGACTTGTTTCTTCTGGTCTGTGTGGACCGATCCCTGCTGTACTGGCTCGATCCTCTAGCCTCCCGACGATCCCGATGATACGACTCTCGTCGACGCTCTGAAAGGAAAACACTAGTTCAGGGTGTCTGCAGTAATATGTACTCACCACGGAAGCTGATCCTGCTTCTCTCCACTTCCTTCTGTGTCCTCGGAGGAGAAATCGCGTATCTCGGCCTTCTATCACATCGCTCCGAGTGTATTCTTGATGACCGACTCAGCATTGTGCCTTCCTTGTTTGGGTCCAGGAGACTTTGTCCGGACAACTTGTTCATTTCCTGATCGCCGGAATTCCGCGCCAGGGCTCCACATCCTGAAACCTTCTGTACCTCTATTGCTTCCTTTCTTTCTCGATTCTCTCGTTGCATCCTCATAATCTCCTCAACTCGAGCGGGACCTGGAATTGAGGACAACTTGAAATCCAAGACTGTGTCTAAAGAAGGCCGGCCGCGGCTGGTCATGATACAGCCTTTGTCCAATCAGAAATCTTACAGCAGGACCGCATTTTTTCCAAGAGTCGAGTTTCTTGGTCTTCCTCCGTCACTGGTTCGGCTACTGGCTCCTGTTTTATGGATATCAACGGATCTCGACAAGTGGCAAATGCAGGACCTTTTGGGTTATGTGGAGCAGAGAATCGTCCCGCAGTGTCCATTTCATCAAATCCTGAACTCTTCATTACTTCCATTACTTCTCTTTGCATTTTCGTAATCTCAGCGACACGTTCTGGAACTGGAATTAAAGGTTATTATTATCATGTTGAGCCAGAAACTTACAAAAGCGTTGCATTTTTCTCAAGAGTTGTGCTTCGTCATTTTCGGCTTCGTCCATCGGCTCTATTTTTACGGACTTGGAAGTACGGTGTGGATTTGGAGATGTAGCTTGCTGAGATGGAGTTGTTGGAAGTGCAGGATCTGTTTTGCCAACTTCTCGTTGCATTTCCTCAACCTCGGCGACACGTTCCGTGTCCAGCAACCGATCTTTTTGCTCCTTCTCTGTCATCATCACGGTTTTGATTGATACCATTGGTGGGGGAGTTGAAGATGGAAGATCCGAAGTCGCCGAGTCCATCATCTCAGAAAAATCAGGAAATACGGATCGATTCTTTGAACACGGAGGCTGGTGATGGGCGTTGGTAGACTCACGAGATAGGAGGCGTTCTGAAAACAAAATATTTACTACTTTCAAACCAAAATAAAAGGAATCCTATGCAAGATATCAAATATGTGTGAACTGATAAAACGTTTGTGATTATCATCAATAGTTTATCAGTTTACGACTTTTTCGACATCTTCCAAAGGAATCGAGATAGATTGGCTCAAAGTTGGTGGTTCGGGAGGTCTTCGAGAGTGTTTACGGTATTTGAATATGAGAATGACCGTACCCCAAGTGCCTCCAGTTTGTACCTCTTTGTTAGATTGGTAGTGCGTACCTGTAGGTCTTCCGAAAGTTCGATTTCTAGATCCAGTTGAAGAACCTCTGGATCGATTTCTATAATATCCAACTTGGCTGTCTTGACGGATTTGAGAATGCCCGTCCGAAGAATGGCATCTTGAAGGATCGGACGAAACTGGAACAAATAATCGAAGTCATTTGAAAAATTGAATAACTGACCTTGGGAGGATCTCGAAGATTCGGGAGCCCTGACATGCCAAGGAGCAGCTGGAGGACGGCTTGAATCGTTCCATTTGTTGGCTCGACGAGAAAGATGAGAGGGATGGGGTGCGTCCAGACGTCCAGATTATAATGATTGCGGTACATTCATTAAAAAACCTGAAAATTGAAATTAAATCAATGGATTAGCACGAAAACCAAGAAAAAAATAGATCATGGTCAAGAGACCATTGAAGATTAAAAAGTAAAATAGGTTGAAAGCGATATGCTTATTTTGTAGATAAAATCATTAAACACTCTTCTGGAACTATAAAAATGGGGGTTAGGAATCAGTGGGAACTGCTTAGTGACTCCTGATCGATGCTCATTCTGGCTTATGAGATGTAGCATCCGCAGCAGCTCGGCGTCTTCTTCGTTCCAATCTCCTGCTCTCCTCTGAAAGCGATTCATCATTATTGTTCGCAGAATAATTTTGATCTTACCTCGAACACGCCTTTCAATTCTAGCCAGCGCTTCCTCTGAAAAGCCAAAATATATAAAAATAAAAAATATTTGAAATGAAAATATCCAAATTACCATCTTCTGCACTCGGCTCCTCGTCGTCCGAATCCCCAGTCAGGTCGATGATTGGGCCAAGCACCTTGGCTGGTTGTTTGGATGGAGCTGGAGCAGCTAAATCTGAAATGTGCCAAACTGGGATGAAGCTTATTTCAAGTTACCGTATTTGTTCTACCAGCCTGTTTGCCGAAAACACCTGGCTGGTGCGCCTTCGGAGCGATTTAACCTATTTATTTTACTGTTTGTCGCTTCGCTTCTCACTTTTTAAATGTCACGTCAATTCTAAAGTTCTAAAAGTTTATAATTTACCAGCAAGCTGGTGCGCCTTCGGCGCGATTCAATCTAGTTTTTTACTGGTTCGTAGCTTCGCTCTTCCCTTTTTCTGAATGAGTCACGTAAATCTATATTTAATTTTTAAGTTTTTCAAAAGTTGACAGACAGACATTAAGACGGACAGACGTGTGAAGCGTTTAAAATCTAAGGAAGATAAGAATGATGATCAGAAGCCCACCCCATAAGTGGAATTTGAGATCAATTATCTCGGTTCCTGTGACAGATATAAAAAAGTGGTCAACTGATAAACTATTTATCTTATTATTACAAATATTTTATCAGTTGACAGATTTTTGACATCATTCATAGGAACAAGTATAATTGAGTACAAAACGCATGTATAGAGTGGGATTCTATTAGTGCAAATACAGTAAGCCTTACTTCTGTGGTGTTGAGAACCTGCTTCGACTTGTTCCTTGACCTGTGGGCCTTTTTCCTCTGGATTCTTCTGTTGCTCATTGCCTAGGCAGAATTTTTTCCTTATATATTTTTTGACCTACCTTCCAACGGTTTCTCATAGAGAAACTTCCATTCCTCGTCTTTTTCCAGCTCTGGTCTTCGGCATTTCTCCGGATATCCTAAAAGTATACAACTTTGTAAATTCTAAAAGTCCCCATACCTCCGCGGAATCCAAAATTTTCCTGGATCGGGGTCTTTGAAGTCGGCGTCGGAAGAAGGGGCTCACTGGTCCGCTTTTCTGAAATGAGGTTCAAATTGAAGCTTCTTATAAACCTTCAGGTCAAACGGCGTACCAGTGTTCAGACGGTTCCACAGAACGTTTGAAGCAGATACTGCTTCTGGCGTTGGTCCAGTAGGAGCAGTGGACAGCTTTGGAGCTATGATGAGCCGGGGTGGCGGAATGCTCGAGCCTGAAAGAATCCAATATAAAGAGTCAACAGCTGAATGTCCCCAAGATTAGGCAAGACTTGGACTAATGAAATCTCCCGCATCTTGGAAAATTTGCCAAGCCGACAGACGACAGTATCCCGTAGAATGAAAACTCACAAAATTTAGGGGCTCTGCCAGATGCTGGTCCACTGGATGATCCGTCGGCTGGTCGCCTCTGACGATCCGCCCAACGACGGGATCCAAACGTCCTCGAAGACACCATCCGAGAGCCAGATGATCCACGCCGATTCGAATCTGAAAAAAAAAACAGGCGTCTTTCAAAAATCGACACATAGCTGAAAAATTTGAGATTTTCAAAAAGTTCTGTGAATGCAGAGTTTTCAGTATAGGTCTGTTGAACACCCTCCAAAATTTCCAAAGTAATTGGAAACTTGACAGCCGAGCTCCAGACTCCTGAAAGTGGTCAAAATCAACTGAAAAACACGTTGTTGTATATCTTATTGACCGGTATTGTTGACGGGGAGTCACCTTACAATGCTTACCATAAATAGACGGAACAACATATTCCGGACGTTGCATATTGAAGACGTGCAGTTGAAGTTTCTGGAATACCCTCAGCTAGACGAAACGAACAAGATTATTTCCATACACTAAAAGTCGATAAAAAACAAAAAAAGCGAGAGTTCGTGTGAGAAGAAGAGTGCGCAGAGAAAGAATATGATACATACACACACACGTTCACGAGAAAGTGCGAGAAGACGCCTGCGCAACGCATTCGCGTATGTTTCATATCCCAAGGAATGATGGGTGAGTAAGAGAGTCCGATATAGAAGAGCTGAGCTAGTGTACACTATATTTAAGCCGTTTTGTCTTGTTCCGAGTGAGAAATATCAAATAGTGGTCAACAAGCAAGGTATTTCTGATATTATGATAAATATTTTATCAGTTGACACCGTTTTGACATCTTTCACAGGAATCGAGATAAACTGGTTCAAAGGACACATATAGTATATGATGTTATTGGAGCAAAGCAAAACGAGCACATGATATGTGAACGGATGCTGAGAATCTATAGGAAACTAGCCCGAACCAATTCAAATTACCAATTCGCGCCTTTCTTTGGAAAACAAACAGAAGAGTATAAGTATGAGAGACTGTACAGACAAGAGAGACGACCAAGCAGAAGAAGAAGAAGCGAGAAGGTCACATCATTTGGACTAAGGATGTTGTACTTTGGCAGCGTTGAACATTTTTTAAATGACAAAGTCGTTAAAATTGGGGTTACAATAAGTGATTAATGTGGGATTTAATTGTAACGAAATGCCCTTTAACAAATTAGTCATAAAATTAAAGAAAATTTAAATGTCGTCATTTTGCGCAGAGACCGAGACAGTGTATGAATGGAGGAAAACGGATAGTTTGAAGGGACGAAAGCTGTAATTTGATCTGAAATTATCATTTTTAGCGGGTTGAATCGAAGAAGGAGACGGTGTTAGGACTTTATCCAAAAGGTTTAAAGGATTTTAAAGGTTGGGGGACATGAAAAAAATAATGTTCTCGAAATTCCGTTCAAAGATGCCCCTCGAGGAGTTGAACTTGTGAGGGCGATGATTGAGGATGCGGCGCCGCAACCGACTGAGCCACGCGGGCAAAGAGAAAGCGCACGCCCGATTGCATACATAAAGGCGAGGACGACAGCTGTACGCAGAGTGACATTAAGCGTTGTACACCGTCACGGTAGAATGCATACCCTAGCTACAAAAAAACTACGAAAAATCTCCTGTCCCCCCACCTTTAATTGATTAGAAAGTATTTTGCGGATGACATGATGCGAATGCTCATCAAACCGTCTACATTTCCTGTAAAATATATCAAAAATCTGTCGACAGGTAAATTATTAATTATAATTTCAGAAATATTTTATCAGTTGATCAATTTTTAATATCTTTTGAAGTAACAGAGAAATATGAAATCATTATCATCTTTTGATGATTTCATATATTTGAAAGAAACGAAGTTTTATTAGAAAAATAAGAAGTTTAAATTGCAAAAAAAGCCAGACCGTGCACTTTAAGCTCAATTATCTCGGGCTTTTTTTAAAGATACCAAAAATCTGTCAACTGATAAAATGATTATCATTGTAAGAAAAATATTTTATAAGTTGACCACTTTTTGATATCTTTAAATAAACCGAGATAATTGAGCTTAAAACGCACGTATAGGCTCGGCACCGTTCAGAGCAAATACGCTAATTTTATAACTACAAAAAAACTTCTGAATTATTGATGCTTTATTGAAATAGGTCCTTAAAATTCTCCTTGAAACTCTCCTTTTTTCACAAGAAAATTTAGAATTCACGCTAATTATTTTTTTTTAATCCCGTGAACTCGAACTAAAAAATAAATAAGTTACCAGAGAAACGGTCACCTGCTTGCCACGTCCCCACCGACTATGTTCGATCACTAGGCGGGGACGACGGCTAATCAGTCTCAATCTTTTTCCTATCAACCTCAATCTACCGTATCCCTTATACCGTAACTTGTTCCTGTTAAGACCCTTAAGGATGAGCCATCAAGGAATGGGAGATATCCCAATCGCAACCACTCAGCGTGAGTTTGAATTTCGGATAAGATACTGAGATTCTTAAGTTTTGGGATTCTTGGGATTTCAGGAAACTAGGAATCTGGGAATCTAGGAATCTAGGAACCTTCTTTTCAGTAGAACGCGTCCGATACTTTCTGAAGCGAAAATCGCCAGGAGAAATCTGTGAGGTGTCTGTGAAAGCTCCAAGAGGAAGTGACGTCATCGAAGTGGAGAATCATGTGCTCAACGAGATCGTCAGCACCGAACTGCAAACCATCAACGCCAGAAATCGGGCCAATGTGAAGATGTTGACCGGTTGGAATGATGATGAAATCACTCAACAAGTTTCTGCCATTCTGAAGGCGGCCAAGGAGGGAATGGAGGTTTGTAGGGGTACTGTAGGGATACTGTAGACAAACTACAGTAACTCTGTCTAACTACATTGATTATAGTGGTAAAAACTACAGTAATCCAAGGGTACACTTTCGAATTTTTTACTTTTCAAGTTTATTAGATCCATTGAGTTTTTTGGATTTTCAGATTGCGTTGAAATTTCAAAATTTCGGAATTTCACACGTTCAGAAATTCAGGATGTTAGATTTTTGGAAATTCTTCATGAAAGACAATTCAGAATCCTTGAAAACCGAATATTCAGTCCAAAACATTCAAAATTTGATTTTTTGAACTTTCTGAAAGTTTCGATTTTCTGAATTTCTAAATTTCCAGCCGACACCTCCAGAAGACAAGAAAAATATGCCGACTATTCGTACTACACCTGCCACCGTCAAATCGTCCACACCAGGATCTTCGATTCTGTTTCAGCTCGTCCGCCCGTCTCGAATCAGACCCCCTATTTGACCAAGCAGGGGAAGAATAAGGTGAATTTTGGGATTTTTTGAGGATTTTGGGGTTCAGAAATTCAGAATTTAATCTATACCTGAGAATCCTGCAACGTTCTGAAACTTTTAAAATCTTGAAATCCCCGAAAACACTTTGAGATCCCTTTGAAAAACTCAAAAAAATTTAAAACTCTAGAATCGAAGAGTCTTTAACATTCTGAAAATCCTAAGAATCCATCAACTAAACCAACTTCAGATTCCAGACGGAACAGCGACGACTCATCCCCTCCCTCTTTGACGATCGTATCTTTTATGCCTGTGACTGATGATTGCTTATGCTTATTTTTATTTGATTGTGCTTCGAATAAAGTTTCATGTGTTTTTTAAATTGATTTTTTACTCCTTCCAAAAACTTGGAACTACAGTAACCCAAATTTCAAAATTCCAAAATTCTGAAATTAAAAATTCAAAGCTCAAAAGTAACTATTTATTAAGCGATTTATCATTTCGAAAACAATTGGAGCTACAGTAACCCAAAGAACTACAGTAACCCAAAAGACAATAAGGCACTTTTTAAACTTAGAAAACTACAGTAATCTTTCTATTACTCTTTCTTCTTCTCCAGAGCGTTTCTGACGAACTGTGGAAGGACGAACGCCGCTTTGTGAACTTCGGAATTATAGAATCTGAGATTCATATTCTTGACTTGTTCATCAGAGAGCACACGAGCAGGAGTGGTGACGTCACGGGTCTGGAAGATTTGAAAAATTAGAAAATCAAAAGTTCCGAAATTCAGAAATTCAGGAATTCAGAAATTCAGGAATTCAGAAATCCAGAAATTCAGGAATTCAGGAGTTCGGGGATTTTAGGAATTCAGAAAATCAGAAATTCAGAAATTCAGGAGTTCAGGGATTTCAGGAATTCAGAAAATCAGAAATTCAGAAATTCAGGAATTCAGGAATTTAGAAATTCAGGAATTCAGGAGTTCGGGATTTCAGGAATTCAGAAAATCAGAAAATCAGAAATTCAGAAATTCAGAAATTCAGAAATTCAGAAATTCAGAAGTTCAGAAATTCAGAAATTCAGGAATTCAGGAATTCAAGAATTCAGAAATTCAGAAACCCCAAAACTTCTAAAATCTGAAAACCTCACACTGTCAAAGACACTTGACAAATTAGAAAACTACAGTAATCCTTCATCTTACAATCACAGCACACACAAAAACCAAAAAAATCAGAAAAAAAAATTCAAAAAAATATGTTAGTTAATATTGCGAAATCTTTCACAACAAAACAGCAAATTTTCTGAACTTTTTTCACAAAAAAGGTCTAAAATTGTCAATTTCGAAACATTATTAGTAGTTTTTTCACCTATTTTTTAGTTTCCCAAATTCTTCCATGAAACCTCTAATAAAAGGCCTTTCAACTTTGAGCTCAATTATCTAGGTTACTGTAAGAGATTTCAAAAATATGTCAACTAATAAATTATTTATCACAATATCAGCAATATTTTATCAGTTGATCACTTTTTGACATCTTTCATAGGAACTGAGATAATTAAGCTCAAAGTAAAAAACGCTTCTAAAAATTACAGGTTTTACGATGTTTCTTTTGAGAACCTCTCCGGACTTTCTCCATTTTTTTCTCAATTTTCCATAATTTCTCATATTCTCACATCACTCTTTGCGCAAATCAAGTATCCCATGCTTCCTGATGGATAAGTAGAGACGATCGATTGAGCGTAGTTCACTGTTGGAAAGATTTTCCGGTTGAACGCCACAAGATGAGCAATCAGTGGGAGATGAAGCCATACGGATTCTCCTGAAATTGTTAGTACACAATACAAAACCACACAACACAAACTACAAAAGCTACAAACTATGAACACGCCACCCAATTAATGTTGACTTTATCACCTTATCATTGGCACATATAACGTATCCCATGAGGCCTGAAGTATAAGTTGGCACACTGCCAACTGCATACTTGGCGTGCGGGAATAGTCGGCGGCAGTTTTGGATTACGGTAGTGATAAGGGATAGGTCCAACCAGGGACACTCGCCTAGAAAGTCGCCAGAAATATTACTCATTCAGACTGGAGTTGAAACTTCCCAAAAGTTTATTACACGATTTCCTCTACTCCTTAACCGTCAATTTTGAGCCAATTTATCTCGGTTCTTATCAGAGATATCAAAAAACTGTCAACTGATAAAATAATGATGTTATGATAAACAATTTATCAGTTGATAACTTTTTGATATCTCTCATAGAAATCAAGATAATTGAGCTTAAAGTGATGTCCCCTTGCTCACCTTGCGATGACAAAATACCATCCTCCTTAAGAGCATCTCTCAAGAGCTCATAGTAACTCTGTCCGAACAGCGACTCGGCTGGACCCACTGGATCGGAACTGTCAGTAATAATAACATCGAATTCGTTCTTGTGATTTTTCAAGAATTCGAAACCGTCACCACAGTAGAGATCCAGTTTCTCGTGGGAGAATCCGCAAGACATGCCAGGCAGGAATCTGAAAAACAGGAGAGGTTAAACGCGCTCCACTGTACTTTATGTCTTACTTTTTGGCCACATCAATGACCATCTCATCAATCTCACACATTGTCACTTTTTCGACGGTGTCATGCTTCAGAACCTCACGGAGAATACCTCCATCTCCTCCACCAATGATGAGAACCTGAAGTTGTAATGTGGAGCTCAATTATCTCTGGTCCTACATGAGATATCAAAAAGTTGCCAACTGATAAATTTTTTATCATAATGTGAGTAGTGTTTTATCAGTTGACAGTTTCTCGATATCTTTTGAAGGAACTGAAATAATTGAGATCAGCAACACCTACTTTCTTTGGGTTCTGATGAGCAAACAGTGGAAGATGAGCCAACATTTCCTGGTAGGAGAACTCGTCTCGTTCGGTGGCTTGAACGATTCCATCTAGAACTAGCACGTTTCCATAGGTAGTGCTGAAATTTGAATCTTAAAAAGATCTACGTTTTACAGTTCGATTTGTCTGAAAATGTTGAGTTTGAAGTGAGCTATAAGACTTTTGAGGTTAAGCGGTGTGCATGCCCACCCTATACGCCGTGTCAAGTTGGAGCTCAATTATCTCGGTTCCTTCAGAAGATATCAAAAATCTGTCAACTGATAAAATGTTGATCATAATATCAACAATTTTTTCACAGTTTATAAATTGTTGATATCTCTCATATGAATCGAGATAATTAAGCTCAAAGCTGGTAGGCGGCTCATCCGCGTAGGGTGGGCTGCCTAAGACAGGCAGAGTTTATCGTCTCCTGCTTAATACAGTAATTGTCAGAATGTTAAGTGTTTCATAAGTTTTTGTTGAACTATTTAAAAGCTTCAATTCACATTTTAGTTTAATTTGAAATATTGAGTTTGAAGCGAGTTATGCGCCTTTAAATACTGGATGTTAGCTGCGCCAGCTGCCTATCACGCGCGCTCAATTATCTCGGTTTCCATGAGAGATATAAAAAACGTGTCAATTGATATAAATTGATATTATTATGATAAAGAATTTATTAGTCGACAAATTTTGAATCTCTTATGTTAACCGAAATAATCGAGCTCAAAGTTAACAAATAGGAGGGCTGCCTATGACATGTGCAGTTTACCGCCTCCTGATCAATCAAGAAAATTCAAATTCCTGAGTATTTTACAATATTTTGTAGAACTACTCAAGAGCTCGAATTTAAAATTTAGTTTGATTTCAAATGTTCAGTTTGAAGCGAGTTCTGTTCCTTTGAATAATGTAGGCTGTGGCGTCTAGCTGCGCCCGCCGGACTGCCGCCCATGACGCGCACTCAATTATCTCGGTTACTATGAAAGATATAAAAAATCTGTCAACTGATAAAATGTTTATCATAATATCACCAATATTTTATCAGTTAACAGGTTTCTTATATCTTTCACAGGAACCGAGATAATTGAGCTCAAGGTTGACGGTTGGGTTGGGCTCCAGTACGGTAAACGGCTTCTGCTTAATCGAGGAAAATTTGAAGTATAAAGTGTTTTTATGGATTCGTAGAGCTATTTAAGAGCTTCAATTTAAAACCCAGTCAAATTCAAAATATTGAGTTTGAAGCGAGTAATGCGCCTTTAAACACTAGCGGTCTAGCTACGCCCGCCGGAGAGCCGTCCATGACAAAACCCTACCTCTCAAAAACGAGCACATCCTGATACTTGCTCTTCTCATGGAACAACACCTTCTTGACCTGAAGAGAAAACGCTTGGCCTGGCCATGCACCGCCCATCTCCTGCCCATCCGACTTGAGAAGTTTAGAAGAGGAGTCTTCGGGAGCATCAGGATTGCTCATCTTTTCCAAATCGTCTGGCGAGAACTCAGTGAACCATCCCTTGTGTAGTTTGTCCATGATTGAAGAGGGGTATTGTAGAGCGAAAAAAATTTTTTTAATCCTAAAGTACTGTAGAACAAAAAGATAGGAATGTTCCAGAAAAAATGGGAAAAAAAGAGGCTAATGAGCTGTGAAATGTGCAGAATGGTTGGTTGGTTGGCTGGGTCAGACGATTCTTTTGGTGAAGAGATAAGAGCAAAAAAGTGATAAGATATGATACGAGCATTTTACGATTTTTTTTTGGAGAAAGTGTACAGTGGAGCGCGTTTAAGCAAACACTGAAGAAGACATTATAAAGTGCAAATTAATGGAGAAATAATGAAATATGGAAAACGAAAAGCAAGTGAAATTGAGATTTTCTATTTTTTCTCGTTTTCTCTAACCCTCTTTTCCCTCTTCTCTCCTCTAAGAGAGCTCCTGAAAACCTTCTCTCCTCCTTCTGTTCCATTTTCCCTCGTTCCTGCAGCAAGTGCGCTCCACCGAACACCCATAAATAATTGGACCCGACTAGAGACCCTAGGGTAGCTACTAGTGGTCAAGAACACTTCTTTTTTCTCCTGTGGGGCACTGCTATACACATTTTTGTCATGGACACACACTGACGAGAGAGTTGCCACTAGCATGTTGGAGGAGGAGAGAGACGAGAGAAGCTAGACAACAAAATGAATGGTGGGACAGATGGTGACCTGCGTGACGTCATCTGTTGCGCCAGAAGGTGTTCTACGACTTCATGAATTTTGAAGCCATTTTTCATGAATTTTGAGCCATTTTTCATGAATTTTGGACCATTTTTCATGGATTTTGAGCCATTTTTCATGAATTTTGAAGGCATTTTTCATGCATTTTGAGCCATTTTTCATGGATTTTTAGTCATTTTTCATGAATTTTGGACCATTTTTCGTGGATTTTGGATTATTTTTAGTCGTTTTCAGCTGTTTTTAGTGATTTTCGGTCTTTTGGTTTTTCGCTTGAAAAAATGTAAAAAACCCCCAATATTTTTTAGATTTCGCTGCAAGACCCAACCTAACGAAAGATCAGGTTACTAATTTTTCGCAATTTTCTCAGTATTCTACAGTCAGTTTAAGCCAGTTCTGATCGTTGTATTTTGAATTTTGCGCCCTTGTTACACCGTCTGATGACAAAAAGTACATAACTATTATTCTTGTGCAAAAAATTGGAGTTGTGGCCGAATTTTCACACAAGGAGAATTTTCGAAAACACAGCCGGCAAACGAGTGCTACCGTAACCCAACAATAAATATTTTCGCAAAATTTTTGTCTTATTTTTTTCCTTTTTGTCGATTTTT